GAATTGAACTCCCTGCTCTCAAACAGCAGGTTCGTGCGCGAGGCAAGAAATCTCTTGATGTGGGCCTTCAGAACGCTAAAACAACTTTCAATAGGGTTCAACATTGGAGAGTACGGCCCAAGGCGCAGAAGTACCAAGTCCTCGTGCGGCTGAACTCGCTGCTCGGTTTGTGAGTGTGCAGGTGCGCTGTCGAGCACAATTACCACCTTGCCTTGAAAGTTGGCACCTTTCCTCGCGCTTAATCTGACCACTTTGATTGGAAGAAAAACCACATTGATCCGAAATTATCCACTTTGGAAACCTTGTTAAAATTTATATTTTTTATCCAAACCACTTTGATTGGAATAAAGTGGCACTTTGATCGGGAAAAGGTGTAGCATGCTCTTTCTGGCACCTACAAACATTTGCATAACGACAAATGTTCATTTACATTATTACTAACTAGTTACAGTAGTAAACCCTTCTATTCCCACAACAAGCACTTGTTGGACGGATTCAAGTACGAGTTGGTGGGGCACTTGAACACTCGGGCGAACTCGGCATTGTTTTGCAACGCCCCCGTGACGCGGAATCGACCAGGCGGGTGCGAGTCCGACAAGAGCGCAGTTAGTCGGGCGTCCGAGTTCTTGGAGCACCAGCCTTGGGCGAACGACAAGTAGAACAACTTGTCCCCAGTTTCTTCCGTGTACTGCGACGGGTACTTCTTCAAGTACTCGTGGTACGCACGGAAACTGGTCTTGAGCCCGCCGTTGTCAGCAATGGTTTCGCCCAACGTGAGCCTGCCGTTGAGGTTGCCCAACACAGCGCCAGTCACTTCACTCTTGACGACAAACTTGGCGTACTGGTCGACGATGCACTGGGCCTTGTTGTCGAACGCAACGGAGGTGACATTCGACCACCACGGGTTCAAGTTGCCGTCGCCATCGTAGCTACGGCCTCTGTTGTCGAACCCGTGAGTGATTTCGTGGCCGATAACCATCCCGATGGCCCCAAAATTCTGAGCAGCATCGAACTGGCCGTCAAAGAACGGGTTTTGCAAAATGCCAGCTGGGAACACAATTTGATTGACGCTAGGGCTGTAGTACGCGTTCACCGTTTGGGGGGACATGGAGAACCTCCGCTTGTCCACAGGTTGGCCGTTCAGCTTCAAGTTGGTGTCGAGGTTCACTTGCGATACCTTCCAGCGGTTGTTCAAGTACGACTTCGTGTCGAATGTCAGGGTGGGGTATAGCTGTGGCTTCTCAGACCCCCCCAGCAAGTGCACAAACTTTGACAACTTGGTTTGCGCGTTGGTGCGAGTCGAGTTATCCAACCAGTCCGCGGTGGCAATACCAGTGGAGAAGGATGATCTCAAGGCCTTCACCAATTCGTCAGCAGTCTTGGCTGTGTTGGCCGACCACACCGCTTCCAAGAAGTACTTGCCCAGGAGCTCCCCAACGGTGACGCTCGTTTGACCCAAGCAGAACTTTTCACGAGTAGGCTCCGTCTTTTGGCCACCGATCTTCTTGCCGAACAAGTTCCAGTTGGCCGTGCGGAATTCAGGGGTCAGGTGGGTGGACGAGGCGTGGATGAGCTTGTACTCCACGATGGTGCGGAGGTCTTCCAATGACGTGTTCTTCAACAACTCTTCGGTCTTGTCAAAGTAGTTCAAGCTGTAAAACCCAACCCAGTCGGTCGCCCCCCCGCATTGGTCGCGGACGTTGAAGCCGTTGCCCTTGAGCCACGAACCGACGAGCAGCGGGTACTTTTGGTCCAGTTCATGAAACGTGAACGCAGTGTACGCGGAGACCACAGCTTCCATTTCTTCGAGCTTGCTGAGGGTGACACCGGCCAGAGATAGCTCAAAACGGATGATCACCGGCACGGCCGCCGCAGCTTGCTCGGCAGTGTATCCAGCCAACTGCAACACCGATGCAATGTACACCTTGTAGTCGGCTTGGATGAACGCCCATCTGGTAGGGTTGGTGTAGTACGTGCGAGCCAGCGACAAGGGGGCTTGGAAACCGAAGAGGGCGTTCTTGGTCGTATCGTTGTCGTTACCGCTCGATTTGATGTCCACAAAGGCAGGGATGCCGTTCTTCACCAACTGCCCGGCCACGATGAGGAGGTCCAACGTCGTGTTGGCCGAGCGAATGGCTTTGAACGAGTCCGCCAACGGAGAGAGGCCGAGCGACGTCAGTGTGGCCGTGTCCAAGCACGAGCTGTAGAACTCAGTGAGCTTGGGCTTGTTTTCAGACAAAATCTTGGTCAACACGACTTCGTTCTGAATGGAGATCT